ACACACACACACACACACACACACACACACACACACATACGTGTGCGCGTGATCTTTATTTAACATCTTTTATCTGAACTTCTTTTTTAATTTCTGTTTTATCTAGCAGATATTTGTTGGGTATGTATTGTGCTGGCCTTGCTGCTAGTTGCTGAGGACAAGGAATATGTCAGGGACCCTAGGTTCAACAAGTGGAATCAGCTGGAAAAATGTATTGGATGGCTATGATGGGCTAGATTCTTACATACATCGTGGTCTTATTTAATCCTATCAAGAGCTTGTAAAATGGACATGTTATCTTTAATTTATAGTGGAGGATGAAGCTAAGAGGTGAAATAATCCTAGTTAAGTCATCTCTTAACTGCTAAATGATAGCCTGGTTTGCAGAATGCGTCCTGATATAATTCATCTGTTTCCTGATGTATGTCTCTAACTTCATTTGGTTAAAAATAGTTTCTTTCCTCCTCCTCCTTCCTCCTTCCTCCTTTCTCTTCCTTTCCCCTTCCTTCTTCTTTCTTCCTTCCTCCTCCTCCTCCTCCTCCTCCTCCTCCTCCTCCCCCCCCTTAACCCAGGGATTCTCTGCCACTAAGGTACATCCCCAGCCCTTTTTATTTATTTATTTATTTTTGGACACAGGGTCTTGCTAAGTTGCTGAGGCACACCTTGAACTTGTGATCCTTCTGCCTCAGCCTTCCGAGTCACTGGGATGAGAGGTGTTTACCACTGCACCCAGCTAAAAAATAGTTTCTAAAGTAGTTTCCAACATCTAGGAAGTATGATATTTTATCTAAAAATTTTGTTTCTATGGACATAATCCTATATTTAGGTTGTTATCCATTGTGAAGTGATGAAGTAAAAATATAATCTAAAAAAATCATTTAACCCACAAAATTTTTAAAAAGATGACTGTATGCTTTTTACTTTACTGTTGTTTCAGTCTTTTAAACTGAAGATGATGCTAAATGAGATAAAATCATGTGCTGTGACATGTTCCAAATTATGTATAATAAATATTGGGGTACTGATAATTGTTGGTATCTTCTTCCTTTTCAAGCTTCCTGAAAAACTGCTGTTTTCACAAGGTTGTAATTGGATCCAGCAGTATAGTTTTGGTCCTGAGAAGTATACAGGTTCAAATGTGTTTGGAAAATTACGTAAATGTGTGGAATTATTGAAAATGCAGGTGAGCATTTAGGGACATATGTCCCGGGCTGGGGTTGTGGCTCATAGGTACAGCACTCGCCTAGCATGTGTGAGGCACTGAATTCAATCCTCATTACCACATAAAGTAAAACAAAGACATTGTACCCACCTATAACTAAAAAAATATTAATAAAATATGTCCCAAATGTAGCCATATTTTTCTAATGTCAGGCATATTACTTTATATTAGGGAAGTAATACATGCAAATAGTAATGTTCCGTTTAGTAACTGATGAATTTCCTTTCCAGCTCTTCTTTCTCCTTTCAATAAACAAGAGAAATGTTCTGCATAATAATCAGGCCCTTTATACTACTGTGGTCTGGAAACCTGACCAATCATGTACCTCTGTTTACCTAGAATAATGCAGTACAAGTTCCAGTCAAGGTTCTCTGAGTGCCCCTCTGAAATGCACCCTAATAAAACTTGGGTGTGGTGCAGATGCAGTACTTATAACTAAGAGTTCTTTCTGCCTTTTAATAATGACACAAGTTTTGGATGATTAGAATGAATCATTAGCCTCCACTTTCTAACAAGGTTATTTTCGGAAATACCTTAGACTTTCTGAGCCAGTTTTTTTATCTGTATGAAAGAGAAATATGAATAGTTTATGCCCTATAGGTTATTATGAGGATTTAGTTGATATTAGAAGAGTGCTTTGAGCTGTGCCGGGTGCATAGTAAGTGTGAAGGAATGCTAGCACTGTTCTTGGCTGAAATATTTTTTGGATAATCCAGCAATCTGGAGCAGTTTTAGAGAACTGACTTGCTTAGTACTTCAGTAAGTGGTGTTTTTTAAAAAATATGTGGACTAGTTTATTATTATAAGATTTTGTGTGTGTGTGTGTGTGAGGGAGGGAGGGAGAGAGAGAGAGAGAGAGAGAGAGAGAGAGAGAGAGAGAGAGACACAGACACTCCTCAAGCTGCTGTAACAAAATACCATAAACTGGGGGAGTTAAACAACAAGCATTTATTTTTTGCAGTTCTGGAGGTAGAAGTCAGATCAGGGTGCTAGCAGGGGGCATAGCCCTCTTCCTTTTTTATAGATATCTTCTTGCATGTCCTCACATGGCAAGAGAACTACCTAGTTTTCTGGCCTCTTATCAGGGCACAAACCCCATTCGTGAGGGCTCCCACCATGTGAACTAATTGCCATCCCAAGGTCTCACCTCCTAATGTTATCACAAGGTTAGGCTTCAGTGTATGGATTTGGGAGAGTAGACACATTCAGTCCATTGTAGCATGCTTACAGTTAAAACAAATCAGCACCAAAAAATATAAAGTGATAAGTTAAAGTTCTACTTTCATTTCTTAATCTTTGGCTTATTTTATCAATACTTAGAAAATTATGTAATGGTGCATGCATTCACTTTTACCCTTCTAAATTTTGTTTTGCATCTAAATTTTAGTGGACCGAATTTAGTGGAATTAAAGATTATCACAAGAGAGGAAGTATGTGTAACATCCTTTTTTCTGATGTCATTCTGGAACATAAACTTTATGAAGCTTTAAAGTTCATCATGCTATATCAAGTCACTGAAGTTTATGAACAAATGAAGACTAACAAGATCATTCCCAGTCTTTTTAGACTCCTGTTTTCCAGGGAGACATCATCAGATCCTTTGAGCTTTATGATGAATCACCTGAATGCTGTAGGTGACACATGTGGATTAGAGCAGGTAAATGGGGAAGTAGAACCATGTGTGTTTGGTTAAGGGTGAGAGGGCAGTACTCAAAACACGTAGGTCTGTGGGGCTCACTTTTGATAAAACCAGCTACACAGAGGTGGTTTGTGGATATTATTGGCCCCAGATGAGGAAAAGATGAGTAAAAAGTTTGCTTGTTGCCCCTGTGTCTGCAGACCCTTGGCTGGTGAGTGCCAGTTCTGGTCTTGCTGACTTCTCACACTGGCAACAGGTTCTCCCACACACACGGGAGAAGAGGTCCAGTTGGAAAATGAGGTTGCTTCAGGAAAGCATTTGGTTACCTATTGCAGATGAATAGAAATTATTGAAACGTTTAAATCCATAATTTTTTTCCTTGTGGAAAAGGGTTTCTGTTTTCTTTGGATTTGCTTTCCTAGAAGGTGAATCAAGTTATCTGACATTTTTACACAAATTGATTTGGAATGAGGTCAAGCTGGTTGGAAAACAGTGTAATTTCTAATTGTGAGCATTCCTTTCTTTTTCAAGTTTTTTTCTTTTTTTATTTATTTTTTTTATTGGTTGTTCACAACATTACAAAGCTCTTGACATATCATATTTCATACATTAGATTGAAGTGGGTTATGAACTCCAATTTTTACCCCAAATGCAGATTGCAGAATCACATCGGTTTTCAAGTTTTTTTCTAAACAGCTTTTTCCTATGATTTCTTCATACTAGTCTAGAGGGATGTTCCTATGCTTGTCCCCTTCCTTGTGCACAATGGACATTTTTTCCTAAGTCTGCCCACTCACTGGCTTATGGGTGGGTCTGTAGACAAGTAGGTTATTTTATAAGTTGCAGAAAAACACTCCCCCCACCATGGTGGGAGGTAGGAATTTGAAAATTTGTGTTTGTGACCTCTTTTTTTTTAATCTTATCCCCAGATTGATATGTTTATACTTGGATACTCCCTTGAAGTAAAGATAAAAGTGTTCCGACTTTTCAAGTTTAACTCCAGAGACTTTGCAGTCTGGTATCCAGAGGAGCCTCTCAGGGAGTGGCCAGAGATCTCCCTGCTGACTGAGAATGACCGTCACTATCACATTCCTGTCTTTTAAGTCTGCTGTGGGCGGGGCGCTGGCTCTTGTCAAAGACAGCGGTCATACTTACAAGTAAAGTATTTCTCGGAAACCAAAGCTAGTGTTTCAGCTACGGAGGGAATCAGGACCTTTTTCTCTGGAGTTCAGGTACACTGGCTGCAGGATGATTTTCCTGTATTTTTCAGTGATTTCCCCTGGAACAGCTGCACTGATTTATTTGGTGGTTGGTGGTTTGACCTTGTTTGTAAGAGGTTCGGCAACTTCACTTAATGGCAGGCCTTTAAGCCACAAGGAAATTTAGTATGGACAACAGAAAAAAAACAAGAAGAAAAAAATGTATGGAAAAATTGCTAACCTGGAAAGAGTTTCTTCATCTCTGACCTTTATGTTATTAAGACTCTCATCTTGGGCTGGTTCAAGATCGTCATAAACATGCCATATGTTTTAAGCATCACCTTCATGGGAATCTTTGTTATATATTAATTTTCTAGAACCATTTGATTAACATTAAAATTATGTGTGTATGTATATATAAATGTAAACATTTATATATACATATATGCACATTTGGCACACACCCACAAGTAATCACTACTTTGTAAAATTGTATAATTTGTTTTATGTATTGCTTTTTTTGTTACTGTTATATCTGGCCAGCTTAATTGGTTTTATTTAGATAAAAATGGTAAATTCTGTAGATTAAGGCAACTGAATGGTAATTACTGAACTGTCACAAAAATATTAAACTGTAGTATATTTAGCTTATATTTACATGTGTATGTAATGACTGGAAACTCATTGTGATAGGCTGAATAATATGCCCAAACACAAAGGTATCTTCATCTTAATCCCAGAACCTGGGATTATGTTGGGTTAAATGGCAAAGGAGAATTAAGGTTGTAATTGGAACTGAGATACTAACCATTGACTTTGAAAGGGGCAATTATTCTGGATTCTCCAGGTGGGCCTGGTGTCATTGAAAGGGTCCTTAAGAGTGGAAGAGGGAATCTGAAAAGTGTCAGTCAGAGGAGAATGTGAAGAGGAGTCAGAGAGATGCACATTGCTGATTTGGGAAGAGGAAGGGGATATGAGCCAGGGAATGCAGGGCCTTTGGGAGCTGGGAAAGACCAGGGACAGACTCTTTCCTAGAACTTCCAGAAGGAGCACAGCCCTGCCAGCACCTTGATTTCAACCCAGCAAGACCCAGGTCAGATGAAATCTGCAGAACTCTAAGGTAATAGCTTCAATGGTTAAACCACTTGAGTATGATGTAATATGTTACAGGAGCAACAGAAGCCTAGTATTCTCAGATTGACTAATTTTTATTTTATTTGGAAATACTTTTTTAGTCATTTTGGAAATCTTTATTTTGGAGATGCCTTGCTCATCTCTTGAATTTCAATAAATTCAAAATAATTTTTAAAATCTTGTAATGACATTTCACTTCAAAATTACAACTTCCTTTATGACAAATAAGTGACTTACTTAACAACATGCGTGGCACTAACATTATCCCATGATTGTATTGTTTCTTGAATAAATAAAAAGGTATATTAAATGCTGAAGCATATGAAATTAATATTCACATTTTGCAATGGAGATGATCAATTGTATGTATTACAAAACCAAGATGTCCAACAGTGCCCCCTGTCATTTTGTTTTCTGGTTGAAAGTTAATAAACTCAGATCAAGGGGCTTTGTGTTACCTTGTTAGCAACTCAAAACAAGAGTTCTGACTTAACTTCCACAGCCCCTTCCGGCTTGGACATGTCCATGGTTTTGCATAACCCCAACCATATAATTGACAGTGTCAGAAATGCCCCCCTTGCTATATTACTGTGACCACGAACTTCACTATTCTTTTCACAAGTAGACATGGTGACAACCTGCTGTAGGTGGCTGTGACTAATATTTATGGAATTGCTGCTCTGAATTTTTGGCTCCAATGGAACTGTTAGGTGCCTATCTGGCTTTTGCATATTACCATTCACTTTGGATCTCCTTAACCAGTGTAATCATTTCCATATCCGTCCAGGACTGAAAGGAAAATCTTTTCCCCTAGGATTGGCAGCCTATAACTGTGTGACATCAATCAACCCAGTACACTTATCCTGATTGTGTGTTGTGGGGGCAGGGGGGCATGGGGCAAGAATTCTTTAAATAGGGGGTCAAGACCAAATTGTGAAAAAGCACTTTTCAATACAGTGAAAATAAGGATGACATTTAAATAGTGGCAATGTTTTGGGAAGGTACCCAAGCAGAAGGCTTTCAGGGTGGAGGTATTGAGTGCTTTGTTTTTGTTGTTGTTGTTGTTGTTCTTGTTATTCCTTTTTTTTTTAATTTAATGAGTGTAACAAACTGAGTAGCCAGAAAGAACTGCATATAAAGTAGCACCACTTTGGAGGGTCTCATGTGCTACTGACTGGGCTAGCTGGGCAACCATCGGCACCACTTTTAAATGCCAACAATAAACTATCTGTGTGGTGCCAACATTTAAATGCATTTCATAACCTAAATGGTGATAAACCTATGGAAAAAATTAAAACATAATGCCCTTGTCTTTTTCTGATTTTAGAATAAATTTCTTAAATCTTGGCTGTGTGGCCATACTGATGAGGAGTTATGGATATTAGTTCAAGAATGAATTTTTTGTTGTTAAAATATGCATAGCATAACATTTTCCATTTGAACCATCTTCAAGTATACAGTCAGTGACATTATTGTGCAGCTATCACAACAGTGCATTTAACCCTCCCCAATGCATTTTTTCATCTTTAAGATGACTTTAGGAGGCAAGTTTAATTCCACACTTGACACTGGGATTTCTTTTACTTTTGCATACTTTTATCACATCTGAGAATATTCTCTGAGCTCAAAAGATCCTCAGTGGAGAAGTCCAATATGAGGGAGGTTTAGATGACCAAATGTCTCTGGAATATCATGGTTATTTTTGTAAAACAGTAACTGTAGGTGACTTCCAGGTCCAACTTAGGAACACTATCATTTGGAAGGTACCCATGAAATTATTAATTCAGGGCCATCAGGGTGACCATGAGGGTCTTCATAATATTGAACCAAAAGTCTTTTCCACTGCAGATAGTCAAGTGAAAGCCCAGGGCATTCTAAGATATGGGAAATCCAGCTGAGATGGTAAAGCCTGGCCTGCAGGAGAGTGGAGCAGCTGAATCAGGGCTAATTTCCCTTGGATTTTACTGCAGATAAATTTTAGATGGAAATGTTTGCTATTATTCTTACTTACTAGTTTAGTAAGATCAAAGAAAAATAACTTCAATTCTGTCCAAGCTGGTCTTGGGGAAGAAAAAAAAATCTAAAACTTTTCTGAATACTCTGCAAATGTTGAGAATTTCACATCAAAGAAGGTAATTTTTTTTTTCTTTTTTGGTATGGAGGAACCACCAAGCTATGGCTCTAGTACTTTTTTTTTGAGACAGGGTCTCATTAAGTTGCTGAGGGTCTTGCTTAGTTCCCAAGGCTGATCTCAAACTTGTAATCCTTCTACCTCAGCCTCCCATGTCACTGAGATTGCAGGCATGTGAGACCGTGCCCAGTGAAGGTAAATATGTTTTAATTGATAACTAACCCTTCAAAATCTGTATATGTATGAATAAGTAGGTGACTAATTCCAGAATCAGCAATAGTTTTATCTTAAAAAGTAAGTACCTAACGCTGTATTATTTTCAAGATATATTTCATGCTGTTTAACACAGTCAGTTATTGTTTAAAAATATATATATATAATAATGTCTATTTTCATGGATTTAAAATTGTCTATAGGTTTTTTATCACCGTTGAGTATTGCTTATCATAATTAAATATTTAGATATACTTTATAGCCATTCACTTTGGTTTTTAAAATTTTTATTTTAATTGACAAATAATATTCACTTTCCTTCAAATCCTATTTTTAATCACAATTTTTTTAAATAGCTAGACATAAAATTGAGTGAGTTCAGAGGCTGGAGATGTAGCTTGGTGATATGACAGGTTTCCTAGCATGTGTGAGGCCTTGGATTCAATCCCCAGATGCACAAAAAAATTAAAAATTAAGTGAGTTTAAGTACTATAGCAAATTCTATGTTATTTTCCCAAAATAATTGGTTAATTCACTTTTGCTTCACTCTTGTCATACTTCTTTAGGCCAAGAAAATGAAAGCTCATCTGGATTATATTTATGCTTAATTGCAACATAGTTTATAAGTGAATGGAAAACCACTTACACATATTCTCAGTTACCCCTGTACTAAAGTGTTCTGTAGAGCAGCCAGGAGTGTACCTACTGTCTCTGCACTTGAAGCTCATGAAATGTGTTGGCAGACACTTGCTGCTGAGTGGAAATGGTGAGGCTCAGGAGCCAGTATGGATGAGCACAGGACAGGTGGGCAACATGTGGAATGGTAAGGTTATTTTCCTAACTGGTATTGTGGAAAATACCACTCTCTGTTTAAAAAATTAAATTTCTGTGTCTAATCAATTTGTCAATCCTTATAATTAATATCATCAGGTCTTAGGAGGTTTTTAAGTCATTTTGCTGTCACCAGTGAGTGTCACTGACTCATTTGTAATGATTCCTGGGAATTTTGGTAAAGAGAATTTTCTTAAATAAAAAAGTGCTTGCTCTAAATGCTTTCATCTTACTCTAGATGGCTTTAAAGTCCATTTCTGCATAAGTAGTTTTTTTTTTTTTTAAATAGGAACATGGGGCTGGGGATGTGGCTCAAGCGGTAATGTACTCGCCTGGCATGCGCAGGGCACTGGGTTCGATCCTCAGCATCACATAAAAATAAAATAAAGATGTTGTGTCCACTGAAAACTGAAAAATAAATATTAAAAAAATAAAAAATTCTCTCTCTCTCTCTCTCTCTCTCTCTCTCTCTTTCTTTAAAAAAAAAATAGGAACATGTTCTAAGAAGCATTGCTGAAGTATAGAAATATTTTTCCCATCAAAACATCTTATTTGTACACCAGGACTATTTTCTTGTCCCTAACTTATGAAACTTCAAGGAGAATATCAAATTGCAGGTGGTGATTATAGGTGAAGTATCAGATAGTGTCTTATATGTTGCTCACCACGACTTTGAGATGGTGGAATGAGGTACAAGTAAGTGACCCTAGAATGCTTTGTGGACAGTGTATGACTCACTCCAAGGCACCTTGCCATATTTCAACAGTTATTAGGATAGACACAGCCTGAGATTCTGGTGGTTCTCTTTTTTTTTTTTTTTTTGCCACTGTATCCCTGTAAGCAAAATCTGGGAAACAACTTGGGAACTACTCCAGGAACATGTGGCGTCTCAGCTATGTCTGCTGCTGGGCACATACAGGTACTTCTTTCAGGTGCCAGTTTTTCTGTTGGACTGAGCTTCTTAGAAGGACCTCAAGAGATGATGAGAATCATCCAGTACAAACTGACTTGTGAGGAGGGGGAAGAAAACTACTTGTGTGTGTTCTGGAAGTTTTAGTATGACATGGTTCCAAGCAGATACATTTATGACTCCCTTATGTAAAAAAGGATCAGAGATGAGGGGATGTTGTTATAAAACATTGGTATCTTCATGGACAAATAGGAAAGACAAATATTTACATCTCTCTTATCACAAACTCCCTTTAGCTATAGTTAAACATGCTGGGTAGGTTAAAAGCTCATCACTGGAGTATATTTAATCAGCAAATGGTAAATGAATAAAATTCATTTTCCACTTGGTTTATATTTCACAAGGGAATGCTTCTACCAGCTTGTGAGACCATTTACATTGGTAGTTGTATTTTTTGGTTGCCCCTCCTCTGTGTGTTCATAAGTGTAAGCACTTTGAAAAGGTACTTGGTACATGGAACTGTACAAGAAGAGGAAACACCCCAGGATTCTCTTTCTAAAACAGGAGGTGGCTTTTTTCTTTTGAAAATTGTGATAAGGTAGTGCTTTTTAAACTAAAGGATGAATTTTTTAATTTTACAATTCTTTGCAGACTGGCACTTTATAAATATAATAAAAGGGATTCCACCTCTTGGGTCCCCTTCTTCCTCCGGGAGAAGTCTTTTCTGCTGTCCTTTAATTAACTTCTAATTTCTACTCTGACCTTGCCTCGGCATGCTTCTTCCTCAACATTGGGGAAGCAAGGACTGTCACCGGTCAACAGCTGTAACATATTGGAGGTCCCATACCGAGATTCTACACCAAGGTAAGTGCACGCACCCCATGTCTGTTTGAGGTGCATCTTTCTCTTTCTTTCTGGAGGATAAGGTGGGCACCCGACGGCTACTTAAACGCAATTAGCAGCCACCACTCTTCAAGACTCGGGTGAGAGGTTTCCGGGCCTAGGCAGCTCTCAATCACCTGTTCAATACAGAGCAGGCATGTTGGGTTCTGTCAAAGCCGCTTCCAACTTTTCTGTCTGGGCCCGGAGAGCAATTGGCGTGAGTACACAGTGTCCCGAAACCCGATCTGCCTCGGATGCGTGGAGGTGGAGGAAGGAGTTTGGAACAACTGCGGAATTCCGGTCTGGCTACACTCAGACGCATTCCTAAGGTTCCTTTCTCTTGAGCCCCCTCCCGACAGCCCTCAGGGGTATCTAGGGTGATCGGTAGATGAATGGCACTGAGGGAAAGCCCCAATCACATTTGCCTCC